ATTCTGCACATAAGTGAAATCATATGGTATTTATCTTCTGTCTGACTTATTTCACTTGGCATAATAACCTCTAGGTCCATCCATGTTGCAAATGGTGGAATTTCATTTTTTTAAATGGCTGAGTAATATTCCATCATATATATGAACCATAATTTCTTTATCCAGTCATCTATCGATGGGCATTTAGGTTGCTTCCATATCTTGGCTATTGTAAATTGTGCTGCCATGGATATTGGAGTGCATAGATCCTTACGAATTATTGTTTTGGTTTTCTTTGGATAAATACCCAGAAGTGCAATTGCTGGGTCAAAAGGTATATCCATTTTTAATTTTTTTGAGAAACCTCCAGACTGTTTTCCATAGCGGCTGTACCAATTTGCAATCTGGGCAGAGTAATTTTGTCAGACGTGGAGTTGGATTCAAGCTTGTTATTGCTATGGTTGCCTTAAGGTCACTACTGGCTTCAAATTCTTGTAGCATTATCTTGTGCTTGTGGTGAGGAGTGGTTTGCTAAAGTTTTCCCCAATAATCCTGTTTTACCGTCAGCTTTAACTCTTCATTCTGCATCTGGGCCTCAGAGAGTTTCTCTCTGTATTCTTGTACTTCCCCAAATTGTACAGGCTCTATTGATTGTTATTTGGTATATTCTAGCCTGGTAGAAGGGGCAGGAGTGAGTCTCTGATTCTGGTCCAGCCCTAGTCTACATATGCCCTGTGTCTCTGGATCTTGAAAATGGCACTTTAGCTTTTACAGTGACCTTTCCCCTCCTGCCGTAACAGCCAGGCTCTGCCTTGTATCTTTGGTGGGTCTTGTGTGGTCCTACCCCTCCCCCAGTAGTAGGGCACCAATAATGGTCTTGATCCAGAGTGAGTTTTCTGCCCCTCCTCCAGGCATAGCAGGATTTTTCTCTTATCTTTTTTCAGTCTTCAGTGGGTCCTCACCTGCACCCTGGGGCAACAGGATTTTCCATCCTTTCTCCAGGAGTTTAAGGTTTTTATTTCTTTAGAGGGTGGTTCTGAGTGATGTTCTGTGCTTTTCCTCGTGGCAGCTTCTCCCCTTCTCCAGGCCTTCATCGTAGTTGGAGGCTTTCTCTGATGCCTTTCCTTTTGTCCAGTCTTGTGAGCACCTGGTGAAGATGAGAATAGCCTGCGATGGTGCAGATTCCCCTTGTCTGTGGTCCTGGCCCATATCTGGCTTTTAGGAATTCATTAAAAATTTAAGTACATTCTTTTTCCTTGCTTGTTTGGTGGACCTGTCTTCTTTCTTAGCTCTGCCCCAGGTAAACCTGTGCTCCTGTTACATCTCTCTTTACATTTCAGTCTTTTTGGCTGCTGTGCAGCCTTGGCTCTCTTATTGGATTAAGGAAATCGTGATTTTGTAGTTTATTCAGCTTTTCTAATAATTGTTAGGGCAGGAGCCACGCTCTTTTCAGCTTTCTACATCCTAATTGGAAGTCTCTGAATTTTTTATTTGCTTTCTTTATTAATTTTCATTCTTTTGGTTATTTTTATTCCTTTTCTCAATGTTATTATATTTTTAGTCTTGTCTCTTTTTTTTTTCACAATGTCAATTAGCATTTATAACTCAGAGAAGCATCATTTTACATATTAAGCATATGTCTGTTTTGCCCATTCTTGACACAAAGTGATATTTCTTGAATTTAATTAAATTGTGACCATAAGTGAAAATATGGGCACCAATTATAAAGTTATCAGACCATTCAGATGATTGCTAATCTTGATTTTTTTTAGCTTATCAAAGTAAAAATACAAAAAGTTTGTTATAGAGAATTCTCACACCTCCAAAAATATGTCATTGGGCCTCCAGGAGTCTGTAGATCCAATCCAAAAAAGGCTGGTGGTGCTGATCAGGGAACTAGTATAGTCTGAGCATAGTCATTAGTGCATTGTTAGTCTAGTATTGAGCAACCTGCTAAATAACTTGATTAGATGTCCTAAAAAAAATAAAAGGAAGAATATAGGATAAATAGAAAATACAATGACATACCTGTCTATAATTTTAGTATTTTTCTGTTATCAAGATTTGATATTCATTAAGTAATTGATTCAGGGTTCTATTATATAAGCAATAAATTATGTATATATAACTATGATAAGAACTGTAGACTGGATAAATACAAGGATAGTTTTCTGATACGAACATACTCGTTTTGCTTCATGCTTAATTTAGGAAAATGTTAATCTCAGTTCTTTCTTCTGTTGTTTTAAGAAGTCAATAGCTGTGTCATAATAGGAAATGCTATCGATGTGAACAGTGTATTATCTCTGCCTTCTCGCCATAATCCACAGGAATTGCATGTTGTTATTCTAGAGTATCTTCAGCAACCTGTGACTAGAAAGAGAAGGGATAGCAAGGCAAATATAAAATGGGGTTGGGACTTGAAAAACTGAGGGAAGCAATGAGCCCTTCAACGTGTGCGTTTCTCTCAACCTGGAAATGACGCTAAGAGCTATGTATGTGTGTTTTCATCTTCCTCAGCTCCTTCCTCAGAGATCACCTATGGCATGGTTGCAGCAGACTTGTTCCACTCCTTATTGTCAGGGGGCGGGACACCTTGTGTAGTGAAGGTGCAGAGCCTCTTTGTGTTAGATGAAAACAGTTACCCGTTGCAACAAGATTTCTCTCTACTGGATTTTTATCCTGACAATGTAAAGCATGCAACCTATGCCCTTCCCTGAAACCAGATGAAGAAATTGCAGGCACTTCAAGGAAGACTACTTAAACAATTTGTCTTTTGAAATGAATGATTGGGCTTGGGGGTTTTAAATATATTTTATAAAGAGCTAAATATATAAATTAAAACTTTTTTTCTAAAACAATTCCATGAGTTTTATTCGTTTTGTCTTTTCCTTTTTTGCTTCTAGAGAAATGGTGTAGTAATAAAGGCAGTACATTCCCTAGGAATTAAAGGTTTCTTTCATATAGTCCCTGTCACATTCCAGGCGTGATACTAAGTGCTATGGATATTGATGTGAAACATTTCCTCAGGAATCGCTTTTCTGCTATACTCACAAACTCTAAGTGCTTTCCCTTAATCCTACTTCAGTAAACTATTGACATGAAATGATTTCCTTGATTATAACTACATGATAATGGATCAGTTTGTATAAGCCTAAAACAGGTTCAAGATAAGTATGTCTTTCTATAAAGAAGCATTGAAAATGAAGAAGACAAGGTCATGTTTCAACTCATTTTATAAAGGGAAAAAGAGTCATTTTGTTTGTTCATTTCTGGGATTTGAGTGACATACTGAATTTACTTATCAATAAACATTTTCTTCTCTCATGACTGGAGAAGCAGCTTGTATAAAATGGTAGTCACCAATGAGATATGGAGTGGTACTTAATCTGTAAGTTTGGGTATGCGAAGAGTTAATAGATAAATAATATTGCTTGAAAATAACTAAATTCATGATGAACACATTTATTTTACTATGTATATATTTTGTTAAGTTCTTTTGGTTAATTGAAATTATTTTCTCTAATTCAGGCTTTAAAAATAACTTGGCTTCCCTAAAAATGAACCTCAGGAGTTTTGTGATTCTCCCAAAAATAATATGCAAAAATGTGTGTGTGAGAGTGCACACACACAAAAGTACATTTTTTTTTTTTTGTGGAGAAGAGTCTATACCTTTCAACAAATCTTCAGAGGGATCTTTGACCAAAAAAGAAAAAAAAAAAAAAAAAGTAAAAGGGTCAATAAGTGCTTCGCTTTGTGGGGAGGATAAGGAGATTAGATCAAATGGTTGCTACAATTTTATCTAGCACCTAGTAAGGTAGATAGAGAAAGAGCTATCCCATTCTGTATTGAGAGATACTGGAATCTCCTTAGGTTATCTGCCCACACCTTGTGACTAGGGGTGGGTAGGACACCAGGATTGAAAGGGCTAGAACCACATGGGATGAAACACGGAACAGGCAGGTCACATACCCATGGCGTGGTAGTTAAGAATTGGGAGGGCTATCTCAGCTGTGAAAGTCCCCCCTGAGGAGTGAGGGGTCCCAGGTTCACACCAGGCTCTCCAACCCAGACTACCAGTGCCAGAAAGAGGAATCCCTGTAATAGCTGGCTCTGAAAATCAGCAGGGACTCAGTCCAGGTGAGCCGGAGGTTGCTATATAGCCAGGCATCCTCTTAAAGGGCCCGCACGCAGACTCACTTCCTCACAAACACTCAGCCTAAGCTCCAGCGAAGGGATAGTAGCTTGAAAAGTACCAGGGACATATAGGGAGGAACTGAATTATATGGCTTCAGGGCAAAGGCTGGAGGGGCAGCTGTCTTTGGGACTAAAGGGCAGGCAGGTGCCATTGTTCCTTCATTAATGAAAGGAGAGCCCTAGGCAGACACAAACATGTCCATGGCAATGGAAGATGCAAGAAGGCTTCAGGGAGGAAACATTTAACCCACATTTTAAAACAGAAGGTGTTCACCACAAAAACAGAATGGTGGGCATACAATAGCATAGCATAGTTGGAAAAAATGGAACATCTCAAATGGGGCTAAAAAAATGAATACCACTCATTCCCCCCAATGAAAAGGTGAGACATAAGATAGTGCAACAAAGAATATATTTCTGAAGAAATCTTAATTCATAAAGCAATGGAGGTTTTATCTACAGGTTCAATTTAGTATGTGAAAACGTTGATTTATGCAAAGCACTGAATTACATTTTTTAGTGGATACCAATGACATGACTGAATTGCCATACCAATTCTTCAGCCATAGAATATAACACTGGAGCGTTGGGAAACCAAAGACAAATTCTATCATACCCCAAATATTTGAGTTACCATTGTAGTTCAGGTTTTGAAATATGGTTTGTTAGAGATTAAAATGAATCTAGAAATTGAATCTAAAGACATAAATGATAAATTAACTATAATGCTTCATATTCTAAAATTCACGTTCATGGGCTTTAAACAGATCAGAAGAGGACTTTTATTTCATATTCTGTTGTGTAAGAGCAGACAGTTCTACAAAGTTTTGATAGGATAACTTTTTCACAATGGTCATAAATTATCATCATCTCCAGAATTCTCCTAAACTACTGTGATCCGAGACCCTCAGTTGTTTAAGGCTAGTTATATTACTTTAGGTTCAGCACAACCTACAGAGTTGACCATGGGCTATGACATGGCTTTCTCAGAAGAAAATATCTGTAATTTCTGAGAACAATATAGAATGAAGCATAAAAAGTAACCATCCCTATGTTTTTCATTTTAAATGATAAATTTGTATTCTGGAAGGTTTGTGGATGGTACAATATAGGTCATGAATCAGAACAATTAGAATAAAGTGTTCATCTTTCCTGAGAGTTTAATACTGGCCCCTGTTTTAAAGTCAATGGGGGAGAAATATGTGAGAGGGAATGAAGTTAGCCAATCAGTTGTCATTCTGGCTTTGAAGGTATTGAACCTGGTTTATTATTAAAAAGTGTATTCTACCTACTTAAGGAATATATTTACTAAGCGTGACCTCTCTGCTTCCAAGTAGAGGAGGAGGTATGGTCATCTCTTCCTTTCCTCCCACTGCAGCTTAGAGCTAGAGGGAGGGAGGCATTCATTGGCACTGAGACAACTTCTCCCCATTCCCTCCCTTGTCCCCTGATGCCCAGTTCCTCCAGTAGTTGAGGGCAGGTAGAAAAGAAGGAAAGGGGAAAAGAGTCTTCTTACAAATTAGCTCCCCAGATGGTCCTCTCTGATGGTCTCTGCTCTTCTAACCTGTCCTGACTGCTGATGCCATCTGCATAGCAGGCATCGAACACTCCTCTTTCTGGAGTGCATGTGAGGGTTCTTTGGAGAGCTTAATCTTCTTACACAGTATATGCACAGTTTCTTGTCATGGGAGATCAAGCTCTTGCCTGGTCTCTTCCACCCCTCAACTCCCTCCAAATGTTACTTCTCCCCATCCTGATTTTTCTCACTGATTCACTTCATTCCATGCTCAAATAAGCACAGCAGAGCAGGTCAGCAAATACCATGTATAATCAGACATTAGACAAGCTAAGAAATTGTCTTTATTTGCATAACATTTAGTACAATTCAATTTATGTAATATTATGATCATACTGCCTGGAAAAATCTTACCAAAACAGTGTAGTGGTTACCCTGTGTGGGGAATTAGGGCCTGGTTTTACTTTCTCCTTTATTATTATTTTTATCTGATGGAATAACCAGGAAAATTTCCCTAATTTCTAGGGATTCCCTATGTTAAAAAGATCATTTCTCAAATATAGAAACATAATATGATATGATTTGATCACAGAAACTAACGCCACATAGTAAGTGTATATACTTCGTGGAGTGGCAGCCAAACATGCAACGATGCTCTTTCTCTGGGCCATATCTATACCATTTAATTTGATTCCCTTGACAAAAATTGATTATTTAAAGAGAGTAAGATGCCTGACTTAAACTGGGATAATCAGATGCTTTTTCCTATAACTAAAAAAATTAAGATTTGCGTACAGTAGGACATGCAGCCCCTAAATGTGCAATTTGCTGAGTTTTGACAAATATATACATTTGTGTAACCAATACTCCAATCAAAATTTGGAACATTTCCATCACTTTAAAAATTTCTCTCATCTCCACTTCCAGTCAATTCCCACCACCCATGATAGGCAACCATGGTTCTGATTTTTATCACAATAGTTTTATTTCTTCTTGAACTTTATATAAATGAAATCATATACAATATATTCCTTTGTGACTTGCTTTTTTTCACACAATGTTTTTGAGATTCATCCAAATTTTTATGTGACTCAGTAGTTTATTCTTCCTAATGCGGAGTGATATATCAACACATTATATTATTTTCCTATTGGAGGTCATTTGGGTTGTTTTCAGTTTTTGGCTATTATGAATACTTGCCATAAACATCTCTTTACGAGTCTTGTGGACATATATCTTCATTCTGAAGTGGGGAAAATACATGGAATTGAGATTGCTGGTTTATAAAATAGGTGTAGATTTAACTTTATAAGAAACTGCCAAATGGTGCTCCAAAGTTGCACAATTTTATATGCTCACACGCCATGTATGAGGATTCTAGTTGTTCTATATCCTTGTCAACATTTGGGGGTGTCATTCATTTTCATTTTAGTCATTCTGCTGGATGTGAAGTGAGTTTAATTTACATTTTCCTGATGCCTAATGATATCGAGCAACTTATCCGGTGCTTATTTGCCATCTGTACATCTTCATTTGTAAAGTGTCTGCTCTAGTCATTTGCACATTTATTTTATTAGGTTTCTTGTCTTTTTTTACTGGTCATATGTATGTTCAAGATAAAAGTCAGATGTATGTACTATTAATATTTTTAAAGTGTCTGTTCAGCATTAGAAATGCTGGCCATAGGATTAGAGAAGAAAAAGAAATATGTATTTGAAACAAAAAGTCTTAAATAAATTAAAATGTCACTATTTTGAATGACTAGAATATATACCCAGAAAAAATTATCCCAGGAAATCAATCAAAAAATATATTGGTAATACGTTTATCATATATAACATTAATTAAATATAACACAAATTTACAAATTTTTAATTTGTAATACAACAATATTACTATATACCCGTAATGCACAGTTCTAAATATAATAAAAATAATCATGGTTATAGATAAACTAAAAACATTAAAAGCTTTATTTACTCTAAGGGAATGATTTTAAAACCATGAAGGAAATAAAAGGAGATAGGAGTCAATGAAACATTGTACCTGAATCAATGAAACATTATACATGCTCCTCTACTGGTTGAAAAGATTTGATATGCAGAGCCGATTCAATATTAACCAAAGTCCCTGCAGGATGGCATATAA